TCCTCCTCCTCCTCCTCCTCCTCCTCCTCCTCCTCCTCTCCTCCTCCTCCTCCTCCTCCTCCTCTCCTCCTCTCTTCCTCCTCCTCCTCCTCCCTCTCCTCCTCCCTCCTCCCCTCCTCCTCCTCCACCTCTCTCCTCCTCCTCCTCCTCCTCCTCCCTCCTCCTCCCCCTCCTCCTCCTCCTCCTCCTCCTCCTCCTCCTCCTCCTCCTCTTCCTCTCTTCCGTCTCTTCCTCCTCCTCCTCCTCCTTATCCACTTCCTCCTCCTTCCTCTCCTCTTTCTTAAGAATGCTCAATTTTCCTCTCACGCTATGCTTGTGTCTTTTTTTTTTTTCTTCTCTCTCTCTCCCATCCTTTGTTTCGAGTCTCATGCCGGCGGATGTGTTGAAAAAAACAAAAACAAAAAAAATGGCAACACTGAGGCTACCTGCGTGGAGCTTGACAACGCAACTCTTTTTTTCCTGTTTTTATTTTATTTATTCATTTATTGTTTTTATCCATGGGTGTGGGGGGGGGGGTTCTCTGTGGCTAAATTTGAAATTTCTGTCTCATATATCTGTTGGATTTGAAATGTTCAGGTGGTGTTGTGTTTTATATTCGTGGCATATGGATGTGTGTGTGTGTGTGTATGTGTGTGTGTGAGTATATATATATGTATATATATATATATATATATATATATATATATATATATATATATATATATATATATATATATATGTATATATATATATATATATATATATATATATATATATATATATATATATATATATATAGATATATATATATAGATATATATAGATATATATATATATATATGTATGTATGCATATTCATATGTATATTATATATATGTATACAAATAGATAGATAGATATGGATATAGATATAGATAGATAAGAATAGATATACATTAAAAACTCAATAAATAAACAACATAGAAAAAAACAGACTTTTAAAAACTACCCAAACTAACCCTACCCCCTTTTCTTCCTCCCCCTCCCCACCCCATCCCCACCACCCTCCTTCTTTCTCTCTCTCCCCACCCATCCCTACCCCATCCCCCTTCTTTCTCTCCCCATCCCTCCCACCCCCATCCCCTCCCTACCCCCCTTCTTTCTTTCTCCCCCCCACAGGAACTCACCATCCAGGAGAACGCCCTCGAGCAGGATTTAGTCAGCATGAAGGACAAACTGCAAGACACACTAACCCGAGTCATGCCCCTTAAGGAAGTCAACGAGAACCTTCGACAGACTATCGCTCAGACGGTCATTATCTAAGGAGGTCGTGGAGAGAGGTGGTCGTTATTTGAGGAGAGAGAGAGAGAGAGAGAGAGAGAGAGAGAGAGAGAGAGAGAGAGAGAGAGAGAGAAAGAGTTCTTAGAGTTCATATCTTAGAGAAAGTAAAGGAAGAAGGGAGAGAGAAAAGGCCATTATTATCTAAGAAAGCAGTGGAGAGAGAGAGAAAGAGTTTTTCATATCTTAGAGAAAGCAGAGGAAGAAGGGAGAGAGAAAGGGTGTTTTTCATATCTTAGAGAAAGCAGAGGAGGAAGGGAGAGAGAAAAAGGGTTATCATTATCTAAGAAAGATGAGGAGAGAGAGAGAGAAAGGGTTACTAATATCTGAGAAAAAAACAGAGGAGAGAGGGAGAGAGGATTATTCATATCTGAGAGAAAGTAAAGGAAGAAGGGAGAGAGAAAGGATTATTAATATCTAAGAAAGTAGAGGAGGGAGAGAGAGAAAAAGGATTATTAATATATGAGAAAAAATAGAGAAGGAAGGGAGAGAGAGAGGGTTATTAATATCTAAGAGAAAGCAGAGGAAGAAGAGAGAGAGACAAGGCCATTATCATCTAAGAAAGTAGAAGAGAGAGAGAGAGAGAAAGAGTTTTTAATATCTGAGAGAAAGTAAAATAGGAAGGAAGAGAGAAAAGGTTATTAAAATCTGAGAGAAAACAGAGGAGAAAGAGAGAGAAAAAAAACATATAGAGTTATTGATATCTGAAAAAAGTAGAGGAGAAATGGAGAGAGGTCATTACCTAAGGAGGTCCTGAAGACACTAGGTCATTATCTGAGAAAGTATAGAAGGGAGAGAGAAAAGTCTCTATCGTCTCAAAATGAGTAAGTTGCTATTTGAGAAAGGTGAGGAAAGAGAGAGAGAGAGAGAGAGAGAAAGGCGAGGAGAGAGAGAGAGAGAGAGAGAGAAAGGTCATTACTACCTGAGAAAGTAAATGAGGAAGGGAAAGAGAGAAGAAAAAGTCACTATTGTCTAAAAAAAATAGAGGAGCGAAAGAGAAAGAGAGAAAAAAGGTTACCATTGTGTAAGAAAATAGGGGAAAGAAAGAGAGAGAGAGAGAAAGTCATCATCGTCTAAAAGAAAATAGAGGAGAGAAAGAGAGAGAGTGTGTGTGTGTGAAAATCAGAGAGGAGAGAAAAAAAAAATCTAAGAAAATCATAGAGAGAGAAAAAGAAATGTCATTACCTCAGAAAATCAGAGAGAG